GCTCTGCCACCCCCGGCCTCCCTCGGCACTCACGGGCCCCACACAGCGAGGGCGCGGCTGAGGGACGCCAGAAGGCCCCCGCAACAACAGGGCCGGGACTGGCAGCGGGCCGCCGGCCTCCCGGAGCCAGGCCCGAGGACTGTCACGTGACTGTGTCTGACCTCAGGAGGACGCATGATGCCGACTTGGTCGAGTGTCCTGTTGAGCCTGGGTCCCCTTGCTCTGTGCTCACGGGGGCTCCACGCCCCTCCTGGGGGGAGGCATTCACAATAGAATGGACGAGACCCTCCCCGCCCAGTGTCATGCTGCTGTTGTCACACCCGTAAAACCTCATTTCACGTTAAAAACAGCCTCTCCTGTGGACAGCAGACATCAGTTAAATATGTGGGGGGCTGCCCCACCCATTCCTTCACTCACACACACGTACACCCCTGGCCCTGAGCCCTGAAGCAATCATCTCCACCGCACGGCAAGATGCTGAGTTCATAGTTCACAGCACACTCGTGCCTTGCGCTGCTCATCCCCGCAAAGCCTCCTCCCGTCTTCACAAAGGAGGACACAGAGGCTCAGGAGCTAAATGGAGAGCTTACAGTGAGCTCTGAGGCTCCCGGTGCCGGGGTCGCTTCACCACCCGCTGCTGGTGGTCCTAGAATAGATGTCTGAGGTGGGGACCCTGGGAAATGAGAGAGAAGGAGAAGGTGGGACCTCTGCTCTCAGGGGACTCTTACTCTGGTGGGGGTACCAGCCCAAATTCCGTGGACCCCTGAGGGACGGGAGGCCAACCTCGTAGGGTGTGTCTGCCCTTGCGAGTTGATGGGGCAGGTTTCACGGGGCAGGTCTCACAGGCTGGCGCGTGCCGGGCGCCCTCCCATGTCAGTGCCGTGCCCTCACCACCACATCTCTGTGCCCTTGTCATTGTATTATTTCTAAACGGCAGCCAGTGACGTGGGTCTGCCTGGGACAGCTGCTGGTGCACAGACAGGGAGGAATCTTGTTTTCCAAAAGTGGGCCACAGGGTCCAAACCCAGGACCAGTCCCGGGCCGTCCAGGGGTGTGGCCACCCTCCACGGAGGAAGCAGAGCCGGGTGCCCGGAACTGACCAGATCCCCGTCTCTGCTTCTTCCCAGATCAATTTCAGGTGGTGCCTCTGCAGTTTTCCAAGGACCTGGACGCCCACAATCCCAACACCCCTGAGTGGAGAGAGGACGTTGGCCTGGTGGTGTCCCGACTCCTCTCCAAGGTGCCCCCCGCCCACCAGCGGCAGAGCCACTTCAGCACCTATGGGGTGTGGGTGCCTCAGAGAAGCTGGGGTGGGGCCGGAGCGCCCAGGGCAGGGCAGGGGAGGACAGGTGGGCTGCCCTGCAGTTCCAGTGATCTGGCCTTCAGGGCGGCTGACGACAGTGCTTGGAAGCCATTTAGGGCCGCTTACCTGGCCCTGGGGGACACGTAGCTGGAGTGTCACTTTGCGGGGTAGGGACGTGACTGCTCCCTCCATGCACATCTAGTGAGCACCAGCTGCTTGCCCAAGACACAGCTGCTGTCCCTCAATGGTCCAGAATCTCTTTAAAGTGATTTTCATTGATTCACTGGGTTTCTCTCCCGGGCTGCATACTCGCTATGGAGCGAGGACTCAGGGTGATTGGTACCTTCTGGGAGCTCACAGAAAGCAAAGGCCGTGCGTCAAGCCCTCGAAGCCCTTGGCCCTCCAGACTCCTCGAGTCATCTAAGGCTGTCACAGGCTGAGGCCCACCCCGACCATGCCGCCCTTTGGTCCGTTAATAATGCTGGTAATATTGTCCTGGGCACTGAAGGATGAACAGGAGTTTTCCAGATGAATGTGCATGGAGTGGGACTTCCAGGAGGCAGAGGGACCTGCATAAGCTTTGTGGGTTGAGAGAATTATATGCTCAGGAGTCCTGACCCCTAGGAAGATGTCACCAGGGTGGGGCCTGCTCACCTTGGCCACTGTGTGAGGAATGAACTGCAGGGGTGGGCCTGGCCGAGCAGAGGCTGATGTGGAGGCAAAAGGCTGAGGGACACCTCAGGATGCTGGGACCATCCCCATGGTGTGCAAGGGTCAGGCATGGCCGGGACTTAATAGGCCAAGTAGGGAGAGAGGGTGTTCCTGGGGGCCCTGGAGTGTGGCAGGGGACAGAGAAGGCAGGCGATCAGAGTGGCTCCCTGTGTCCTCGCAGGAGACCGGCATCCCTGAAGAGCTGCTGGTGACCGTTGTAAAGCCGGGGCTGCCCACCTCGGCCGACCTGCATGTGCTCCTGCCCCCTCCCAGGCCCACGAGGAAGAGGAGTCCCACAGGCGACAAGGTACCTGTGGCCACCGGACTGCGGTCCTCCCTCCGCCCGCCGCTGAGGGTCTGGTGGTCATCCCCACAAGCAGGGGGGCCTCAGAGGCTCACCGTCACGTGAAAGCTTACCTCTGGCCCATCACTGTCGGATGCAGGCAGCCCGCCCTCCACCCCCTTGTGGCTACAGCCTCTGGCCTCCAAGGTCACAGTGGTGTGGAAATAGGGGGAGCCCAGGGAACCAGGCTCGATGAATTCCCAGGGGGTGTGCCACGCTCACCCCCACTTCATCAGCTCAGCTGGCCGCTCCACCCCCACCTCACGGCAAGGGCCACTGGAACGTGGGCAGACACCGTCCAGGAGACCCCCTGGGCGTGGATTCCAGGACAGAGCAGAAACCAGCCCCCATCCAACTGGGCTGGAGACTCAACCATGAATCAGAAGCGCGGCACGCCTTCTAGGGAGGCTGCACTTCCTTAGCAAGCAGACAGTAACTAGTGCGGCGAGCGCGTGGAGGAGCCGTCCCCTCGTTCACTGCTGGGGAGGGGCACGTAAAAGGTGCGGCCGCCACGGAAATGGTCTGGCGGGTCTCCAGACCGTTCAGCACAGAGTTACCGTATGACACGCAGCCCCAGCCCCGGGTGTACCCGAGAGAGCTGAAAATGTGTGTCCACACGCACGCGTGTGCACCGAGGTTCACAGCGACATCAGTCATAATACCCCCGAGGTGGAACAACCCAGATGCCCCCCCCGCAGATGAGAGGATAAGCAGAAGGTGGTCCAGCCACACCACGGACTATTATTCAGCTGTAAAAAGGGGTGACATTCTACTACCTGCTGCAACTTGGATGAGCCTCGGACACACGACGCTCAGGGAAAGAACGCCGGGACAGCAAGCCACAGATCGTGTGGCTCCATCTGTATGAAATGTGCAGCCCGGCAAACCCACAGGGACAGCGGGACAACAGGAAGCTAGGGGACCCCTCTGGGCCACAAGGGCAAGGGCAGAACCAGGGCTTTTCCAGATCCTTCAAGTCTGGGGCTGGTGGCTTCTTGTTTACACGGTCCCTGACTCAGGACCATCGGCCCCATGAGCGGGGAACAGTCCTTGTGGAATGGCAGCTGCTAACACGCTGCTCAGGGAGGCGGTAAGCAGAGGCCCCCCCAGGCATGTCCTCCCGAGGCCCTGGACCGGGAGCCGCGGGGACCGCCATCCCTCGGAGGGCCTGCTTCCCCCAGCACCTCTGCACCCACCCGTGCAGAAGGGTGACACCTGACACTCACCTGGGTTGATAGGTTCCCTTCTGAACACCCCTTGTGAGTTGCCAACCAGCTGGGCGCCCCAGAGGCCAGCTGCTCCCCCTCACCATGATCCAGCAATGGCACCTCCCGGGGCTTCTCTGCCTCGGGTGTGGGGTCACTCGCCTGCCTGGGTCACCTGTCCTGTCCCCATCTTGTCCTCTTCTTGGTCTTCTACCTCCAAGAAGCCTTTTCTGATGACGTCCGGGCTTGGGGGCCTCCTGGAACATCCCTGGGGTTCCCCAGCTCCATGGTCCGGACTGAACTGGAGCTCTCCGAGGGCAGGGCCCCGTCTGGGTCACCTCGCGTCCCATTGTAGGTTCTTGGTGAGAGCTGGCTGGTGGCCAGCATTCCCATTTTATGGCTGAGGCGACTGAGGCCAAGCAAGGCTGAGTGGCCCTCCCAGGCCCACGGCGCGAGAGAGTTGGGGCGGATGTCTGTCCGGCTGTCCTGCTCCCTCAGATGGGTCTCTGAGGCCCCCACACCCCCTCTCTGTGCTTTCAGAGGCTCACGGCCATCCAGCAGGCACTGAACGCACAGAAGATCAGCTTTCTTCTGCGAGGTGGGGTCCGGGTCCTGGTAGCCATGAGGGACGTGGACACAGGTGAGAGGCCTGGCCTGGGCTCGCCCTGCAGGGTGGGGTGCGCGTGCGTCCCGGCCCCTCGGACAATGCCTGTCACTGTGGGGGGGAGCAGAGGGCCCCTCCGCAGCCCACACACTCCTCCTGGCTGGGTGGTCGCCCCGGTTGAAACCCGGCCAGACTGAAGGGCCCCACTGTCCCTCCTGGCAGAGGCAACACAGAGCTTTTGTTTTAGTTTGTCTCTGCCCGCCCCCCACCGTGGACTGTCCTCCCTGCTGCGGGGCAAGGGGCTTCGCAGAAGCTGCAGGGCTGCCTTCTGCTCCCGTGAAGGGCCCTGCCCGCACAGTGCAGGTCTGGGCGGAGGAGTTCCGGCCGCCGCAGGCGTGCGGCCAGGGCTGGGGTTTACACAGTGGGAGACCTGGGGGCCAGGGCGGGGGTTCCTCCAAGGCTGCAGCTGCAGAGCGTGACCCCTCATCCTGTCAAATCTGCCCACACTTCCCAGCCACACCCAGGCCTGAAGAACCTGCCAGACCAGGTGAGCCGTCCTCCCAGCTAGGGAGGCCGCGGGATGCCACGGTGACGGCTAACGGCCTGCTTTGTTCTCAGATTCTCCGAGGCTGGGAGGAGGTGGCGGCTACTGGGCGGTGGCGGTCCTCTTTGTCATCGGGCTCTTCACGGTGGGGGCCTTCATCCTCTACAAGTTCAAAAGGCAAGGCTTCCCTCCCGGGCTGATCTTGAGCCTTGGGCTCAGCTTCCCAGCAGGGCCTCAGAGGGTCGTGAGGGCCTGTGGTGGGCTGTGGGTGGGGAGGGGCCTTGTCTGGACCCCTCCCTGGTTCCATCCTCCTCTCTTCTCCACCCACTGAGGCCACGCCCATTTGACGGATGAGGAAACCCGGGCTCAGAGAGGTTAAGCAACGTGCCCAGGGCCACAAAGCTGAGGAGGAAGGAGTAGGGGTCCGACCTCGGGCTGTGCCCCTCCACGCTTCCTCCATCACTCGTCCACCCCGTCTCCCTGAGAGCTCCTGCATCCAGACAGAGGGGCTGCACAAGGACCCCCAGGGTGGGAGGGGTGGGGTAGCAAGTCATCAGGAGGGGTTGCGGTGCCTCTCTTCCCCTCTGACCTTGGTCTGCATCTGTAAAATGGGTTTAGTAACCCACTGTGCTGGAACTACTTGTGGGCACCTCCAAGGGGCTGGTGAATTTGAACTCACCTGGATTCTGGACCTGGGAATGAGCAAAACAGCCAAGCAGTGTCACCAGACTTACTTCCTGTAAAATGCAGTGGTGAGATCCGACCCCGCTGTTTCTCCCTGTCTTGCTGGTTCAGCTCCAGTGGCCTCGGGGTCTCCCTGGGCGAGCTCGCCCTTGGGGACAATGGAGAAACTCGGCTCATTCCCCACTCCATGCTCCTCTGAGGCCAAGGGTCCCTCCTCCAGCCCAGTCTTCCCTCAGCCCTGGACCCTTCTGGGACTCTGTCCTCAAGCACCCTTGACTCTGAGTGACAGCCCCCAACCTGTGGGGCAGCCCAGACGGCCGTAGGTCTGGGTCAGCATCGAAGACCCCATCCTACCCGCTACTGACCAGCTCTGTGGCCTCTGCCAGTCTCTTCCCCTCCCTGAGCCTCAGTTTCCTCATCTGTAAAAGAGGACTAAGTAGGGGGGAGGGGAGGAGGAGGGGAGGTGAGGGGAGGGGGAGGGGTGGGGGCAGGAGCAGATGCAGCCCCCCAGCCCTTGCAGGCACCCTACGATGCCCTCCTTCCTTGTCACCACGTGTCTGAGACCCAGCTCAGGCTCGGCCGACGCAGGCCCCGGGTGTGGGGGTCCCGAGGGGCTGAGAACAGGTTAGGTGCTGCCTCCCAGGTCAGAGCCTTATTGGAGGCAATGGCCGGAGGCCAGAGTTGCCCCCTCCCCCGCCCCTTTCTCTTTCTCCTCCGACCTCAGTTTGGGTGCAGATGCCCATTTGGGCTTCCCCAGGCGCACTTGAGGGTTGCAGGGCGGCAGGAACTGCCCGGGAAGCGGAAGGCAGGCCTGGCAGGTCGGGGGAAAGGGGCAGGATTTTGGTCTCTTTAAATGGCGTTCTTCAGACCCTCTGAGGGCTGGACTGCAGTTTCCACAAATTGCTTCAGATTTATCGCGTGCAGCATAAAGGGTCCAGAGGGAACCTGCTGCCATGCTTCTGGAGGAGGGGAAGGAGGAGGAAGGGGAGGACCTTGAGTCAGGCCCAGAAGAGAGAGGGGAGGGTGTACGTGGCCAGCCTGGTGCCCAGTGCACTGAGGGCTTAGTACTGAGTTAGTCATTCGGGGGGAGGGGGGAGGTGGAGAGGAGACGGCTGCCATGGAAACAGTGGAGCACAATTACGGGTAAGTGCGCTCCCCTGGAGCACTAGGTCCCCTGGGGCGGGAGAGCAGAGCAGACAGGAGCTAGGCAGCAGAGAAATGCCCCAGCTGTCCTGAGGCTTTAGGCTCTGACATGGCCTGTGGAGCCCAGAGAGATGGGCTTTCCTGGTTGGCGTATCAGCCGGCATGGGCTGGGCCTGGCTGCATAAGAACTAGCCCCCACGTCTCAGAGGTTTACAGCCACCAAGTACCACAGTCCCCTGGGACCAATCACGGCCCCACCCGCCCTGGGGCCTGAGTGTGCATCCTGCCATCTAAATATTTCCAGAAAACTGCCAATGTTTGGTTCTCCCACTAGAGTCTTAGTTCCCGCATCTGTAAAATGGGGCCATTTGCTCCAACTAACTGGGATGTTGGACATGAAGGAGCCTGGCCCAGGGGGTCCTGAGCCCCATCCCAGCTCTCCTCTCCCTGTGCCCCTGGAGAGGAGGGAACGGGAGGACGGCACAGCCCTGGGACCCAGACAGGACTCAGCAAAGTCCTCTCAGAGGCAGTCAGTGTCCTGTGCTGCCTGGGAACACATACCTGCCAACCCGGCCAGAGCTCAGGATGTGGCTTTCCCAGAGGTGCCGGGTGACAGGGACATGAAGGAGGATAAACTACCCTCTCCCTGCAGCGTGCCCTCAGAGGAGACAGATGGATAGTGAGCACTCCACGTGCTGGGAGCTCACAGGAGGGAGGGCTTCCTGGAGGAGGTGGCTTGGAGCAGCGGCAGGGCAGGAGACAGACCCGGGAGCTTTGTCAGCACCAGGCACAGGGGTGGTTCAGGGCCCACAGGGCAGCGTCCTGGGCAGAGCCCTGAGCCCCACCTCTGCCCACAGGAAACGCCCCGGCAGGACCGTGTATGCCCAGATGCACAACGAGAAGGAGCAGGAAATGACCAGCCCCGTGAGCCGCAGCCAGGGCGCGCAGAGCGCCATCCAGGGTGAAGGGTTAATAGATGATGACCTCCACCCACAGACTCTAGGTAACGCCCTCCCCGAAACCCGCCTCCCTGCCCGCCCGTGTCCCCCCGCCGCCTCCTGACCTGGGGCCAGGCAGACCCTGTGATGTGTCCCCTCTGTCTGACGAGGTGATGACCAGAGCCCCAGAGCTGCTGTGGGGACTAAATCAGACCTGTGGACGCCTGTGTATTGCTGTCCTTCTATCCTTTCACACCTGTGCCTGGTGTCCCTGGAACCATGAGAGGCGGAAATTGCTGTCCTCACCTCTTAAATGGCTGGAGGTGAGGCTCAGAGAGGTGTTGTCAGTCACCCAGGAGGCACAGCAGGACAGTGGCTGGCCTTGGATCCAAACCCAGGCCGGCCTGGCCCCGAAGCCCAGGTCCCACAGTTTCTCCCGAGAGTGCTCGAGGAGCAGACCCCCGCCCTTCCTCCAGCTCCCCGACCTCGGTGGGATCCCTGACTGTTGGCACAATGGCCCCATCATCCCTACACCCACCAGCCCAGCTGAGATCCTCAGACCAGTGAATCTGTAGCCCCTCGAACACAATGACCCCTCACTCCACACCAGGCGCAGGCCCAGCGACCCCCAACACAATCTGACGGCAGCCTGGGAGGCAGGCACTGGCCGTGTGTCCGCTTGACAGATGAGACGCCGAGGTTCAGAACAGCCACTCAACCTCCCCGAGTCCCTGGCGAGGTGGAGCCAAAGCCTGTGCCCCTCCCCCCGGCTGCAGCCCCAGGCTCAGGGCAGCTCCCTGCACATCCCCAAGGACCCCACTGCCCCATCCCTCTGCCGCCCCGGGCAGGGGTGGTTGGAGAGCCTCCGGCATGGCCCGGCCCCCACCTTCATCAGGTGGTGTCACACCCCGCATGAGAGGTGGCGGCCGAGGTTCCTGGTGGACCCAGGCTTCCCAAGCCTGGGCAGAGGGGTGGGTGTCCCGGGAAGACAGGAACTCCGCTCTCCTGACCCCGCAGCTGTTTGCTGAGAGCCCCCAAGAGCAATAATAGTAATAATAGTGCATTATTTACTGGAGCACTTGGCCTGCTCCAGGCTGCCCAAATCTGCAGGTGCAGTTCCCTGCTGGGCCCCATCACAGTCCTTCAGAGGAGGCACCATTACTGCCCCCAAGTTACAGATGACAAAACTGAGGCCGCCAGGTGATGGGCCTTAATGAGGGCTCACCCGGCAACTGGGGCTTGTGACCCCGTACCCCTGAAGCCTGGCTGGATGCTCTCGGCTGCTTCCTCCTCCCCTGATGTCAGATCGCAGCCAGGACCCCCAGCTAACCCTGGCGTCTCTGACCCTGACTATGCCCTTCTCTCTCCCGCCGCCTCCCGGGGCCTCGCCTGGCCATGCCGCCCTGCAGCCCCCCCCGCCAGGGGGGGACCCAGCCCCTCCTACATCCCCCTGCTGCCGATGCCCAGGGCGGCCTCCCTGCAGGTCAGTGGGTATGGTGGGTGGCAGCCTCACCCCCAGCGGCCCTCTGGGTCCACTGCTTGTGACAGCACCGGGAGATCCCACCCTCAGGCACCCGCCCAGGAAGCCCAGAGACCCTCACCACCTCCGCACCTGCGTCCAGGCACGACCCGCGCACACTGGCTGAGGCCACACTGTGTCCCGCACGGCCCTCTGTCTCTTTTTGGCCCTGCGGCCTAGGGTGGGCATGTGCTTATGCCCGCGTCTCTGTGTTTCCAGGGAACCACTCCGGTGTGGTCCTGAGCATCAACTCCCGGGAGATGCACAGCTACCTGGTGAGCTGATGCACCGGAGGCCCTCGCCCAGAACTCTCTCCAGTCTGTCGCTTCATCCCCTGCGGAGAGCACAGGACCACACGTGCCCCCGGCACTGGGGCTGGGACTGGCACCCCCTCAGAGACCTCGGGAAAGACACCTCCAGCTGCGCCCACGCAAGGCGACAGATGCCCCCTCTGTCCAGTTAAAGCCTGCCCAGCCCGCGGACGCATGCGGACCCGCCGGCTCCCACCCTCCCTGGACACAGGCCCATGGCGCCGCCCAGCTACACCCCCCCCCAAACCCTGGTCACTCCCCCTCAGCCGCCCTGGCTGCCCACACCACATCACCCCAGCCGAGGCTGGGCCCACCTCCTCACGCCGAGGCTGGGCCCCCCTGGAGCCTGGGAGATGAGCCTGCTGGGCTGCCTGCACTCTCAGAACCACAGACCCACCCGGCCCTGCACCGCGGGCTCCTGTCCCTGCAGAGGGACACTGCAGCCCTGCTTTCTTCCTCACAAACCCCAGCAAGGCGGCTCCTGCCCGCATGGCGTCTCTCTGCAGGGCATCCACCCCTCCAGGATCCAGTCCCTCCCGCTGTCCCCCCAGTTTTTAAACTGCGGATAATGTAAATACCTCTCTAGGTAGCTGTTTGCATTTGGTGGGGAGGGTTTTTCAACTTCCTATTTTTATCGCCAGGCAATAGCCCCATTCTCGGGAACCCATTTCTAGAACACCCAGGGATGCTCCTCAGCCTCTCCTGGGAGCCTTGTCTCCCGGAGCCCACCGGGCAAAGGCTCTCTCTGGCCCCCACTCCCCCCCCCCGCCCTTTGGGGGCCCACGGGGGTCCAAGGGAGCCAGTGCCTGCACTTCCGCAGGCAGCCAGTAGGTGGCGCCCCCGCGCACGTTTCCCGACGGTGGGCCCCTCCTCTTAGTGGGCACGCGGCCTCTGGAAGGACGGAGTGTTCTGTGCTTCCTCATAGTTTGAGGGGCGCGGGTAGAAACCCAGGAGCCAGAAGAGGTTTAGGACGCAGAGCTGGAAGGGCCACCAGGAGTGTGCCCCTCCTTTTGAAGATGCAGAAACTGGCCCAGAGAGGGAGTGACTTTCCCAAGGTCACACAGCAAGACAATTAGCAGAGGCGCCCCAGGAACCAGCCCTCTGCTCCCCGTGCAGTGCAAGTCTGGTCACTCCCAGATGCTTAGATTCAGGGACCCCAGGAGTATACGGGGGCGGGTTTTCACCTTTTGCCTTGAAATTGAAAATCAGGACCCCCTGCTCCCCCGACTCCCCTCCCCCAGGCTGGGCTTCCAGGTGGTCGGGGCCTTCTCCTCAGCGGCGGGGACACCACAGCCCAGGCTAGGAGCCCGCTGGCCGTGGTGAGTCCAGAATGAAGTCTAGGGGACACTAACCCACCTCCTTAGAGAAGAAGCAGGGCCTGTGGGGGAGGGGGGACCCGGGGATGGATCCTCACGCCCAGGGCCACCCCACACGCGGAGTCCCTCAGTCTTTGTGGAGTGGGGGGGGGTCCCTGGAGCCCAGCCCCCTGGGGGCACACGTGGGGACTCAGAGCAACTCTGAGACCAGCTCGCAAGGGGTCACTGCAGGTCACAGGGCCAGGCGCAGAGACATCCCCCTCCCCACCCTGCCTTCCCCACCCCTGCAGATCGCACCTGGCAAGTTGTCCTCAAAACCCTCCTTGGGGAGGGGCTGGGGCAGGGGACCTGAGACCGGAGCTGGGGGTCTGTGTGGAAAGAGGCTGGATTCTCCGGGCCCTTGCCTGCTCCCTGCCCGCCTGCAGTCTCCAGACACACCTTAGTAAACCTTGTGTCCGGCCGCCCACCCAACCCGGCCTGTCTGGTGAGCGGCGGACCAGGATCAGACGCCCATCAGGACCGTCCGGCACGGAGTCCCCGGGACACAGCCCCGAGCTCGCCGGGGCCTGCGGGTGGCGACCCCTTGGACCTCCCCAGACCCTCTGCTCCGTCTCTCGCTATTTGGGTGGGGTTTCCCCTTAGCTCTTTGTATTTTTCTTGTATTTTATGTTATTATTTCTATTAAAAACCTTTTGGGGGAAGAGTTGGCATCTATAACCTTACACTTTTCCTGCCCTGTAACCATATAGATGGACACGTAGGTCTGCGGGGTCATCTGGCTACACGTTTGAGGGTCTATCTGACGTGCAGGGACCCCCGGGCACCCGGGCCCGAGCCGGCACCTGCTGTGGGCAGCTGATGTTCCATTCCACCAGGTTGAGCCCAGACTCCGTATATGCACATACAGAGAGGCGATCAATTCTTTCTTACTTTTCCTTTTTAAAAATCAATAAATAATTTGTGATGCTTTTAACAAAGATTAAATGAATATGATCAGTGTTTGCCTTATTATAATGCTGTTTGTAAACCTTTCCCTGAACACACACACACCCTGGCCCCAGAACCTGGGACCAGGGACCCCGAGCAGGGCTGGGAGCAGGAAGGGGGCCATGACACTGACCATCTCGGTTGCTGGATCCAGAACGTGCCACCTGCAACGTGATAATGTCACTGCGTCCTCACACACTTCCCCCAGTGTGGCTCACTTCCCCCGATGGCCGGCTGAGGGGCCCCGGGGCGGCACGGAGGCCAGGGTTGCGGCTGGCAGCGTGGGCCCAGCTGGACGGAATCTCCTCCTCTCTGCAACGAGAGGAGCCAGGAGCTGGAGGGCAAGCCCCGCCGTGGTCAGCTGGCAGCCTCTGCCCTGACCGGGTGCCCTCGGGTTCGGGAAAGCTGCTCCAGGAGGTCCTCTATGTGGCTGCATAAGCTCTGCACACCTGGAGCGGCGGCCTTCTGTTTCTGGCTTCGCACTTGGTGTCTGAGGGGGACGGGGGCAGGTGAGTGCGGCCCGGCTTGGACATGAGAGCAGCCCACCACCCCTGCATACGCACACACACACTCACACACACGCATACAGACACACAGACATATACTTACACACTCACACACACTCATACAGACACACACAGACATATACCTGCACACTCACACACACACACACACACACACACTTCACACTGACACCCCACCTCCTCCTCTGGGCTGTAGTCCATCCTTGCAGACAGGGTTTAGTGTCAACACCTCAAACACCTCCTCCCAGACCTCAGGCCCCCTGAGCCGGTGCCAGGCCCTGGGCAGGACCCGCGAGTGGATGAGATGAGACCCCTGGGCCCTGAAGGAGAACCCAGGCCAGTGGGGAAGCTGACAGTGACCACATGGTCCAGCAGGGGCCCAGTGACCCGAACCCATCTTCCATGAGAGGCACATTTGAGCCGGGCCCGCAGGACCAGGAGGAGGTGGCGGTGAGACAGGCAGGAGTTGGGACCATCCAGGCTGGGATGCCGCCCAGGGGACAGAGAGGAGTGTGTATGTATCTGTGTGCATGGTATCTGTGCGTGTGTGTGAGTGTGATGTGATGTGCTGTGTGTAGTGTGTGTGGAGAGACAAGACAGACGCGGAGGCGGCACCAGCAGTGTGTTTGGAGGACGTCGGAATTGGGCCATTTCCTCTCCCTGTTCTAACCGCCAGGACCCGGCTGGGGGTTAAGACCTCCCTCCTCTCTGGCTGGTGTCAGCGTGCCGGGGGCTCTGTAGAGGGTCTTCCCCCCGGAAGGGCCGGCGGGTGTGATGAGAGGCTTGCTCCTCCCACGTCGATGCACCTGGAAACTTTTCCTGTAATGATGGACCAGACTGGGAGCGGGGGCCATGTGGGGGCCACGGGGACCCCGCAGGGGTCACAGCCCTAGGACTGCCCCATGTCACAGCCAGTGACGGCTTCCTGTCAGGATGATGAGGACACAAACATGCCCACGTGACCGGCCACAAAGTGCGGGCGCTGTGGCCACACCTTCACTTCTCGTCAGCAGGGCAGGCGTGAGGGCCCCTGTCTACAGACCAGGGGACTGAGGCACTTGGAGGGGAAAATCGTTTTTAGCCCAAATAAGAGGCTTTGCTCTAAACCTCCAGCAAAACCCCAAATTCCTGGAGGACTCAAACTGGCTTTCACCCAAGACACCCAAGTCCAGAGTCATCAGGTAGCAGTGAATCTCAGAGGAACAGACAGATTGGAATCAGCGGAGGAAAAACACTTCCTCCACAGCCGCTGTCCTCAGCCCCGACCCTGCCACTCAAGCAGAAATGGCTAGTCACCGAGGAAGCCAAGACAATCCGACATTGTCGAAAACATGTCCCTCCAAGGGCCTGGTGGCCTCCTTCGGGAAGGTGAGCAGGCTCGGAGCCGGTGGGCAACCCTCAGGGCCGGAGGGGCACTTGCTGCCTGTGGGGACCCCCAGAAGAGACGGCCACCTCATCTCTCAGTTGGCAGGCCCCGAGCCCCATCCGTCAGGCACAGCTGGGGACCCCCTGCAGGAGATACCCCAGCAGGTGCTGAGGCTGGTGTCGAAATCTACACCCCTTCTGCAGGGATTTGTGCAAAGTTGAAGTCAGGACCCTTCTGAGAAAGCCCCACTGCACTGAGAGAGAGAAAAGCGGCCCCGACAGGTGGCTCCGGCTGGGCCAGCCCCGCAGGGCCGGGCCTTCTGTCTGCACACACGTCACCAGGCCTCTGTGGCTGCGAGGAATGGGCCAGAGCTGAGAGTGTCACACCTGAGCACAGACCGGCCAGAGGTGACCCCAGGCCTTCCCAGCTGAGCAAGTGGGGGCCACGCCTTCATCCGTCACGGCTCAGCCTCCTGAGCCCCTCCTCCTAGCCCGGAGCATCGAGCTACCGGAACACAGCGTGGCCCCGCTTCCCGACAGCACCTGAGTCCTCCCGAGCCCTCTCCCGTGGCCCACCCTCTGGCCAGGCCTTCCCAGCCCCTCTGACTGAGCCGCCCCCCCCAGGTCCAGTGATGCACGCTCTCCCTCACTGCACGAGGATCACCCATCTGTCCGGCTACAGGTGTGTCCCTGGTAGCATCTTCGGTCCTAAGGTGAGCAGTCTCTGTGCATGGCAGTCACTCTCAGAATAGAAACCTACATCCCTCGAGCTTTGCATCACAGTATTATATGGAGAATTCTGGCGTGACTGTTTCTCCTAGCCACAGTCCACTGCTCAGGCGGAGGCACGTAGGGGTTCTCAGGTCACAAAATGGCTGCAGTAGCTCCAGACTGGGCATCATCCTCTTACAAAGTCTAGAGGCTCTGGCCAGGTCACATGGTCATCCCAAAGGAATCCCTACAGCTCACTGTCCTTATCTTGAGCCACATGTGCCCCTACCCTCACCCCAAGCCAGAAGTGGGGCCACAACACGTCCCTGAGTTTGGGACAAAGAACCACCGCACATGAAGAAGTAAACGCTTGATCTACAGGCTTCACACTAGGCCACGGGGTCAATTCCAGAGATGCACATTCAGTGATGGCCTGCTGGATACTCACGACTGGTCTGGGGCCTGTGCCCCTCACTCTGCCTTCCAGATTAACATGGAAAAGAAGAATGCCTTCAGCATATAAAAGGGCAGCGAGGCGGGACGGACACGCAGCGCGTGAGCGGGAAACGCGTGGTCTGAAGGGAGCGCTCCTCATTCAAGAAGAAGTAAGTGGGAAGAAACCACCGCAGCGTCAGCGGGGCCAGGAAGACAGGCCGCCCTGAGACCGCGGGAGCGCCGCAGCGGGTGCGGGGGAAGGCACAGGTTGTGGAGGAGAGTTTACCTAAAGGGGCTGGAGGAAACTTTAGAAATTGTATGCATCGCATCTTGATGTGAAATGCAAGAAACCACGCGGTCTTTGAAACAAGATAGTGGAGGTCCCAGCCTGAGTAGAAAGGGGAGTCGCCGGAGGGAGACGAGGGAGGAAAGTGAAGACACGAGAACATAATTAGTATTTACTTGCATTAAGGACAATCAAAAGCAGAAGGTGACTGTGTGACACGGTGTCCCCACTGCAGAGAGCGACTGCACATCTCCAGACATGGGAAAGGATGAGGGACAAGGATAAAGGCCTCGTAAGAGACCAGTGAGCTCACCGTGCAACAGGCTTCCTCAGGGATCAGCCCCCACAGACAGCTGAGCACACTCTTTGAGCCTGCAGCTCCGAAGGCTGACGCAGTCAGTCAGACGGGAGTGAGCGCCGGGCGGGGTGGGGGAGGGGAGGAGCAACTCAGAAAATAACAGTCTGTCTGCATTCAGGATAAGGGACTCCAGAAATTTTTACTTTCTCTAAATGAAGGCCAGCAAAAGAAGCCAGTTAAAATCAAAACGCTGCAGCTGCGCAGAAGAGGACCCGGCGCCACCGGACCCAGGGCTCCTCTCAGTGTCACTAACATCACAGCGCGAGCCCTCCCTAGGCTTCTCCGTGTGCTTCCCGCGCAAGAACCTGCCCCGAAGGGGACAGGCGCGCCGGAGCACCAGGGACCCGAGCTGTCGATCAGCCTGATCACTCAGAGACCCTGAGCCGTTAGTCAATCAATCAATCAATCAATCAA